TTCGTTTGTTTTTATTGCACGGTAGGCTGTTTCTTTTCTTGTTTGCCTTTTATATGCTCTGTGGTATGTATGTGTGTGTTGCCGAAAATCTACTATTTTTAAGGTTGTTTTATAATTTATAAAGATGGTTTCGATGGGAAAATTGTCTGAGAATCTGTTGTTAATTGATTGTGGGATTTTCCTGATTATTGATGATGGATATTTGGAAAATGTGTATAATTAAATTGTTTTCCTGTTGGAATCACACCAAAAATACAGTGGGCAATATGTAAAACATAATAACACTACAATAATAAATCCCAAAATTGTAAACATTGTCTAGAGGAGAAAATAGCTAAAATTGCCTTACTATGTGGTTGATGTGGTTCTATGGGGTTCATTTACATAGGTTGAATATGACATGTAGTAAATCTGCTACTATTAGGTTAGTTTTTATGTCGATGGCGAATCCCATATTTCTTAGATTTTTTATTATAAATTTTATAGTTTTGTTTATTTTTCTGTTAAAGATTCGTAAGTTTATGAGAGAGTCGTCTCTGTAGAAGCCTATATCATTTCTATAAATTATATCACTTTGTTCATGTAGCAAATTTATACTTATAAGCTCAGAGGTCTCTACACAATCAAAGACTCCAATTGTAATATCAAATATTCATTCTTTCATTATCCACGGGATTTCTTTGTCGAATAATGGGAATTTTGGGGAGAGTTAATTGTTTTTTTTTATTTCGTTTGTGTTTATTTTTTTTTCTAATTTTATAAATTCGCATTTAGTTTTGTTATAGATTGGGGAAGCAGCGTATAGAACTTTATTTTGACTTTGCACTTATTTTCTCATAAATTCTTCCTTTGTTCTGAGTTAATTGTTTCTAGTATTATTTTATATCTTTTAACGTTTTACTTCTTTTGATTTGGTTTTATGAGTTTGGCTGTTGGGTTTGTTTTAAAGTTTACTTTGAAATCATTTCGTCTAATGTGTACTTGGGATGCAAATTATTCTGTCGTCCACGTTTTATATGTTTGGACGATATTTAGATTTCATTTTAATATCGCATTCTGTAATTTTTATGCTTGTCTGTGTTGACTTTGTTTTAGTTGTTCTTATTGTGTTTTGGAGGGCTTAGTTTATATATATTTCTAGTTTCGACCCCTGCAATAAATACGTTTGGTGAATAGTCCATTGTAGTTATAGCTCTTTTTTTCATATATTTCTGGAAAACATCCAGTTGTTTTTTTGGAAATTCTGTTTCTTACTAATTTAAGCAAGTCCTTTTCGAAGTTGTCTATTTGGGTGTGGCAGTTGGGGCAAATACTTATTGAAGCATAAATGCGCTTTCCATCTCATATTATTTATAAGGCTTTTTATTTTCCTTTGAATTTTCATTAGGAGGCGAATAGTAGTGAGATGACTATGAAATAGGAAGTATCCGAACCTAAATGTTATGATATCCATGATATTTTATCAATTTAGCTACAGTTTAGAGTTTAAATAAAATAATTTCTAAATTAAATTATTTTTATGCATGCTAATTCTTGATTCTTTTTTCAAATATCAATTATATTATATGTGAAAAAAACTGACAACTTATTGTCAACATTCTTTTCAAATTATCTGAAAATTATGGTTAAATATTTTGAGTGTCGGAATTTATTGCATGAGAAAAGACAATTTTCATTGTTGAGGACAAATAACATATCGTCTAATGCGCACTAAATTATAAATTTCTTAACGCGACAAAGAAAATTTCCCGTCAAATACTACAAAAAAGGAAAATTTAAATAAGATCAATAGAAAATAAACCGTAGTTGAACTAAATTTGATACCGTAAAATCAATGTAGATTGTTCATTTGCCACATTAATACTATTTTGAACTAAATATAATTAATTGTATATAATTTAAATCTAAATATAATTAATTGTATATAATTTAACTAATTAAATTATAATTAATTATTTAATTGAATTATGATTAAATAATTATTTTTTACCGTAAGAGATGCATAATTTATATACATATCTATAATAATTTCCAAATTATTTTCTGTTATAAATGTTATAAATGAAAACAGAATTTCCCCAATTTAATACTGATTATGCAACTAATATATATATATATATATATATATATATATATATATATATATATGTGTGTGTGTGTGTGTATGTGTGTGTGTGTGTGTGTGTGTGTATGCGCGCTTGGGCGTTTGTGAATAAAAACAAAAGGAAAACTCATATTAGCTGTCGAATCTGGTCTTCTGAAGGAATTCATCAAGGCAAATGTAACAGTATTTAATTTGTGACAAATTTTTATACACAAAGCAATGATGTTATTGTTCTTCAAAATATTTACTTAGAGATACCGTCATGTATTTTGAGGAGGTTAACGTTAAATATCAGGAATTTTCATATGAGGTAACACTTCAATGTGTAATAAAAGAAAGTGAGCAGATGATATTATATATATATATATATATATATATATGTATATGTGTGTGTGTGTGTGTGTGTTAGCTCTATCTCTGATATTGAGCGCTTTCTAATAATTACCGCGCATATAATATATAAATAATTATAATATATACATATATTTATATTTATTTATATTTATATACACACACACACACACACACACACACACACACACACACATATATATATATATATATATATATATATATATATATATATATATATATATATATATATATATATGAAGTTCGTATTTAAATCATTTTGGATTGACATTGATTTATGTGAGTTTATAGATTTATCTGTCTTAGTTTAATTTATTATCAATTTGGGGTCATGTATCTTGGCTTGGAAAATCTGTAATTCCGATGCGCAAATTTATATTTTGATAAGATACGATAGCGGAACTTTCGGCAAATTTATATCTAAATATGTTACGTACTTTCTTAATAAGTGTTGAATTTCTTAGATCAAAATTGTGGTTGAATTTATTTCTATGTATGAAGAATGCATTTGATAAAATGTTGTATATATGATACCATGTTTGTCCATCGTTTTTTTTTTTTTTTCAATGTATTGTGATGGAGAATTCAATTTATTTTGTATGTACCAGCAGCAGAATTATTATAGTTATAGGGTTTTGACTTTTTAATTTAACTTAAGTGAGATTTTAAGCAAATCACCACAATCAAGTCGGGAGTGCCATTAACACGCAAGGGGTTACACAGCGTGAAATAAAGTGAGACAAGTAGTGTTTGGGGAAAAAATTAAAAATATGGACACGGATCGAAGTCAATTCATCAGTTTATCTAGATTGACATAACATTTGAATAGATGAAGATTTTAACTATCAGGGAAGCAAGTGATAGGAAATGGAGATCAACTGAGCGGAGATACGAGATAACCTTGTTGGAGTAGAAGAAATCGATCCATTTAGCAGTTTCGGGGTGGGACCGAGATGCCAAACTTTTAACACGCTTAAATGCAAGCATTTTGGAAACCAATAATTGTAGCCAATCGGAGCAGATGCCATCAAAATACGTGCAGAATAGTCAGAAGAAGCCACAGCACGTCTGTGAGATAGTGACTGGAGACGGGATTCCAGATCAGGATCAATCACGTTACATATCCATTTCTTGATTTTCCCGAAGACCTCGAGATGAACATCGGGATCGCAAGACCATATATATCAACAGTATTCCATACAAGGACGATATACTTGATTTGTAGATTTGAAGGATCGGCTCAGGCGAGAAATAAAACCTTTTGGCGCGACAGAGACAACCAGCTTTTCTTGCGGTGTATGAAGCTATGGATTCAACGTATTTGTTCCACTTCATGTCAGCCGACACAGTGAGACCAAGCAGGCGCAGTAAGGCACTCGTAGTTTTTTCAACGATACCGGATTTTCTATTGATGCAGGAATAAATAGTAGTGTCATCAGATTACATGCGAACTTGGGAGTTGATGACATAAGAAAGAACATTGATGAAGATCAGAAACGGTGTATTCAAAGGATAGAGCATTGGTGAGCACCAGCTTTCGTGTGAATGGAGCTGGAAAATAATCTGTTTAGGATGACCTTCATTTCACTGAGAGGAATGATTTTATTTTCAAATAATCGTCTTCTAATACCGTATCCCTGATACTTACGAAGATTATTAGCGTTCCAGACAATTCAGTTATAGTAGTGAGCACGTCTGCGGTGGACCTGGTACAGTGAAAAGCATATTGTTTGTCTGAGAGCAGATCATGATATGTAAGTTGCTTAACCACTTCGGCGTTGATTAAAGCCTCGGAGACTTTGCTGAAGAGTGGTAGTGGAATGATTATACGGTTGTTAAATGGATCAGAAGAATCACCAGTGTTCTTAAAGAAAGGGACAACAGATAATGGCTTCCAACAGGAAGGAAAGCAAGAGTCAGTGAGGCAATAGTTATATAGTTTGTAGAGGACTGGTGCAAGTTCAAGGGCACATTTCTTCAGGACAACGGCTGGTATCCCGTCCCCGACACTAGCATTATGAGAGTCTAATTTTGAGACTGTGTCCAATACCATCGATGAGTTTATGTTTATCTCACTAAAGAGAACATCACTTCTCGGGGGAAAATCAGGTGTGCATGCTCCTGATGAGTAATGATTTGAATTCCATATTTAAAATTCTATTTTTATTTTTTTTACTTTATTTTCTAGATTATCTGTACAACTGTAATTTAATTTTAACGTATTTGTATTAAAATTCTTTAGAAGATCATAACTTGGGAAATGTTTCTCCGTTTGAGTGGGGTATCAGCGCGCGGGACTTTGGGAAAGTACCTTAAAACCATACCACGGGTTGACCAAAGCCTTGCGAGCATCGATAGCTGGACAAGCAGGAAGTCTCGTTTAATCGTGACCAAGGGTATGAGTGTGCTGGCGCTGTTCACATTGTTGATCATGCTGGATAACACTTTCTCTTCTAGAAACACTAAGCAAAGTTGCAGTATAAACGACAGGTATTAAAGAAACAGAAATATCCCTGTCGCCCTATTAGACTGGTATCCTCGAATCCGCGTAGCCAGCTATTATATATATATATAGAGAGAGATAGATAGATAGATAGATAGATAGATAGATAGATATAGATATCTGAGCCCTGAGGGACAATTTCTGTTTGTTTGAGTGAAAGGGAATATATTTTTAAAATCTTATTTCAGAATTACTCAATTTGTGAATCTATCTATCTATCTATCTATCTACCTATATATATTTATATATATATATATATATATATATATATATATATATATATATATATGTGTGTGTGTGTGTGTGTGTGTGTGTGCGCGCCATGGTTTGACTTTCTATATGTGTGTGTTTTTGTGTTGCATGTCCCTCATGCAGACCACAGACATACGCATACTTTATTATGTAGTGACTTTTAAATGAAACTTGAGGCGTAGAAAATCTAAACTTTTTTGTATAATCTATATATTGATTATTATCATCATTTCCGTCATTTAGACACTATTTAAAATGCTACACCAAAGACCATTATTCAGATGCTAACACGTTAATCGAAAGCTTTTGGAAAAACAATAGTTTGGTCAATTTCTGAAAACACTAAATACAAAACATAAGTATCTTCTTTACACACTAGAAAAAATTAAAAAAGTTAAGTTTAATCATACATTTTAGATGCATCAAGGATGGTCTTCGGTGATGCACTGTTCTCATCGTCGATTTCGGGTTTCGCATCTTATCGGCTCCAACAGAAAACCCGACCTGATTTTAGATTAGTCAGGTCGCCTTCTTGAAAGTGTCGTGCTACGCACCGTGACATTGCAAAAAAAAAAAAAAAACAACAACCCAGTAATCATAAGAAACTAACAAAGCCGGACTTCGATCGTTCTTACTGACATATGTCATTCAGTGTCAGCCAATGAAAACAGATCTTTTCACCCTCCTTTACCATATAATGTTGTCTTTTTACTTCATCCGGTTTAGATTTACTACTTCCGGAATCCATCACGAGGTGAACTGGTATTTTTATTGCATTGTTTAAGCCCATGTTTTACATATTAAATACTAATCCCTTAGTTATACTAAATCTTTAACTAAACCTACCCGCGTGCCCAACCCAAATCTGTCCTATACTAGCACTTTCTAAAAAGAAATTGGGTATTCTAACTATCAGGTCAATCTGTAACTCTTACCTTATACTCATATTCAAACAAAATAACAGTCACTTAAAAAAAAATCACCTGCATGTACGTTGCCGCATCCACACAGAAATGTAAATACGCATACACACGTGTATTGACAGAAGTTTATAACTTCTATCTCTATATAACAATTACATTTTCAACATTTTTTTTTGTTAATGAATCCCATAGGCGCGTGTGTGGGCGTTCGTGTATGAGTGCATGCGGGTTCCGGGGTGTGTTTTAAGTTTTTATTTATTGACGTGGGATAAAAATAAATTCAAAATATTATTAAATAGAACAATGTCTTTGAAATTAATCTAACCTTTTAGAACTCAGCTGAATGTTTAATTTTTTATTTTTTTATTTAAATTTCTAGCGATAGTTGCTTCTTCCAAAATATATCGAATAATAAAACTTACTCAATCGGCCTTCAACATGTGATGTTACGAAACATTCATAGCGTCAAGCGTTTTTAAAATAATATTTATGTCTTCCTAGCATTCATCAACAATTCTTTCGATATTATGAGAGAACGAATGATTTAAGATAAATACGTTAATATAGAAACAGACCAATATATATATATATATATATATATATATATATATATATATATATATATATATAAATGTATGTATGTAAATACATATTATGTACCTCCAAATATTAGTTAAGATGTGCATAGCATGATTAAAAGTCACCAAATTTGAAAAAAAATTAAGTTTTATTTATGTTCTAATGGAAGAGAAAATACAGAGTTATTTTTATTATTTTGTTCAACTTTTTAATCTTTTCTATTTCAATAGACATTTTCCTTTTGTCAGCAGTAGTACGAAAAATTAGTCTTAGGGAATTTTGCGTCTTTTTGCGGGCTAAAAAGCATTGTATTTGTAATTCTTGCAAATTTCTTCTTGCAAAAGCGAACATTTTTAGGCATTTAAACCAACATGCCTGGCCGCATACACAATTCTGGAAAATCCCTGTTGAAAACACAACTTTACTTAAACATTAAAACAATAAAGAAAAACTAAAAATTCTTGAAGCTATATACATAATTCAGTTGGAGCCTAACCTGAACAAAATAAGCTATGAAATCTCCACAAATGTTCTTAAATTCCTATAATTGATAACAGAAGCCATTTGTCTGTACCAACAGCTTCCCATATTTAATACTTCTCGTTTTCACACTCACGTGTCACGTCACGAGCTGCGACGCAATTTTCGCTTCCGCGTCTCGTATACACGAGTTTGTCGTTGCTTTGAAATTTTCATGCAGCAAAAACAGACTTTCATTATTGTTTTGTCCGTGTATTGTTTGATATATTGAAATATAATTGTCATCTTTGATAAAGATGTATCAATAAGGTGATTTCCTTTCGTTTTTCAGTGATAATGTTATTAACCGTAACAGACAATATGAAAGGAACTTACATAAAATAAATAAACAAAAACTTCTATATTATTCAATGAAACATGCATCAATGAAAAATTGCTGCCTAAATATACACAATATATATATATATATATATATATATATATATATATATATATATATATATATATATATATATTGTGGATGATCTAATGATTTGAACACTTTCTACACATTTTTATCATAGTAAATTACTTCCACCTTTTACATTTATTCCAATTTAACTAGAAAAAAGACAATTCACACATAGAATAGGATTATTGGAGTTTCTTAAAAGGGTTAATTGAAAGTTATTGGAAACAATGCATCGAGATATGAAACGAGTTTACACGAGTTCCTTGCGTCTGAATACGTCACTGATTCTTAATGATCATTTACAAGAATATGTTAAAACATGGTACATTACAAGTAGACGTCTGTTTATATGATTTACATTTATCCTAGATTTCCAGCACTATGTTTGAATTGAACATTTTCTCATAGTGTATATTTCATTTTTTTCTAGCCATTTACTCGAGTTTACAGAGTGGGAAGTAATGTACATTTGCAAGCGCATTTCTGTGAATGCCGAATGAAGATTAATGATTCCAAACACTATAGTGTTTCTGCGTATCGCTATCATGATATTTATTTAGTCTCTGCGTGCCACTGATGTTCAAGCTTGCCCTTGCTTGCTTTGCCTTTCATTCACTGGTGTCTGTGTAAGAAACTCTGGAGTCGGGATGCTGAAGGTAGCATCAATCAGCTAAGCGATAACTGGTTGCCTTTGTTAAAAATAATTAACAAGAAAACACAATAATTAACAAGAAAAAATGATAATGAAGTGTAAATCGGCACTAAGGACAAAATTTTAAAAAACATCACCAAACGGAAAAAAATAAGAGTAGGAGATAAACTCAATTTAAAAGTTCATCAGATTTTGCTTGTCCCTTACATGGACATTTTCTACACACTCTGTTTCCAGAAAAGAAAAGAAATGTTCGAACACAAGAAAAATTAACTAAAAAGCTTAATCTCAGTACCTTGCCTGCCGGCTTTAATGAAACATTTATAAATGAGGAATTGGTGCTGAAATACTATATATATATATATATATATATATATATATATATATATATATATATATATATATATATAGTGTGTGTGTTTCTGTTATATAGAGATGAAAAATGCTGCTTTTAATAGACATAATTATAGGTGTAGTCATAAAATTTAGGAAAAATCTCAGCACTTCCGTGAAGATACAATGATTTGGGCAAATGTCAAACGTGAAGCTACCAAAGTGGAAATCATTGATTTAGTAATACATCACTTTACATGCGACGAATGTCACAGAGCATTGCAGGCTTTGTTAGCCACAATAATTGCAATATTATTTGAAGTTTGTACAAATGCAGATATACTGCGGAATCCGTCACATGAAATCCCACGAGAAAAGCTGAATTCCCAAACGGGACCAGGCCGTGTAAAGAATGTTTACTGTTTGACAAAGTCTTTCAATGTCTTCGTTGCCCGCAGGAGCAATAAAACATTGAAATATAGAACATAAAATATTGATCAAATATGTCAGCGACGGTCATATCGGTTTACCGTGTCGACAGACAATATATATACACTCGAAATGTCCTGGGCTGGTACAGGAAGTCATTTCAATTTTGAGAAATGGGTCGTTCGAGAATTTAATCACACACACACACACACACACACACACACACACACACACACACACACACACACATATATATATATATATATATATATATATATATATATATATATATGTATGTATGTATGTATGTCTCTGTGTCCGTGTGTGCAGAGTTTACGACATTTTATAACCTCTAACAGTCTTTTATTGGTTGATTTTTCTTGAGCATTTTAAGTTGCTATTTTAAAATTATTTTCAAGAAATTTATTTATTTGCTTGAATATTGCTTTCTATTCTCGTGTAAATTTCAGTTCGTATATTCATTTATTTTAAAGCTGAAATGCTATATTTCTATTGGATTTTTATCTGGAGAACCTGGAGGCTAGTCCATTAGATTTATGGCTTTAAAACCGTTTTTAGCAAGGATATAAATTTTATGACTTGATCGTTTTTCCTTAATTTTTTGGTTTAAACGTGTAATTCTAAAGAAATGTTTTTTTTTCATAAATCTTCTATATTTATTTTAATTTACTTTGATACCATCATTCTAAAATATATGTGACCATCATATATTCCTGAAAACATTATTACCTCTACTCTATTGGTTGAATGTTCTTGATTTAAAATTTCCATGAAGGACGCAAATTATTTCTCAGTTACAACGTTCGCAGTATTTACTTTTTTCAATGTGCTTATGCTTCGTATACTCTTTATTTTTCAATATCTCATTTAAATCTACTGAAATTGCTGTTTTAGAACGATCGTAAGGACAATATGTTGCACGAGTTCCTATCTTGTACAGCTTCCATTTTTGGCATTTCTACATTTTCAATTATTTTGCAGTTTTCATCAATTCAGTACATTAACATTTCTTTTTGTGTGTATATTTCACTTATAACCCATGCAAAACCGAATAAATTATCAGTCAGTTATGCGCCATGCGTGATGCATGCTTAGGCGATCATGTATCTTTCGATACATGATTGACAAGGTAGATTTTCCCCGCAGGAGGTTGCGGTGGACCTGTTGATATCCATGGCTATAGAACTTGGTCTGTCTTCCTATTTACTCATTGGGGGAGGAAGAAGTCGAAATTTCATACAATTCCTAAGGGTATTAGCACGTAAGTCAATGTAATGGATTCGACTAGAATTCGAACTCGACTCTCCGATACTACAATCCGAACCGCTATCCATTACTCTATCGGTCATCACGAAAAAAGAAATCATATAAAACTCATGCATTTTTATGAGAATTTCACTGAGGATATTTATCATAGGAGAATAATTATAAGCTGAAAATCGTAAAATCATACTTTTCATATAAAAACTATTTTGCAAGTATTTTTAACGTACCGTAGTTTAAACATAAAGTTAACCTTAAGGTGATGTTTTCAGTGTGTAGCGTATACAGAACAATATATACATTAGGGTGAAAAAAAAGGCTATGTCAACAATACTTACAGCGGTTAATAATAATAGATATTATCCTTATCCTTTCAAATAGACATATCTTCTTGAATTTATATCATGGCAGCTCTGGCGCATAAAAGATATCTAGCTGAACGTATTTATAGGAGGACATGTCTGGTGATGCTGCCAACCAGTGAAGTTTCGGGTGTATATCAAATTATGTTTTATGCCTGGGGCACTATTTGGACAAACATTATTCAGTTTAAGCTACACATGAATTATGGCAAAACATTTTCTATAATATCCTGGATATATAGGGCACTGCTGAAATACCGCTAAGTTTGTAATTAGTGTATCTCACACATTCACGTCTGATTTTAAACTGTATATTTTCAGAGTATGCAAGTTTCAAGATATTGTACGTCAGAAGTCGTTGTACACATAAGCCATTCTTATTTGTTGGAAGGCATAAACTTCTCTGACGACTGAAAATTAAAGATACATTTCGATCCCTAAAATCTAGCAGAAGCTTTTGGAAAAAGAACGTCAGTGTCATGGCTAGAAACACGCGTTTTCCTTACAGGTGAAAGACTCCCAACAATTGCTATTGTCAACTAGGGAGCATTATTTGAAGATTCAGTGATTTCTGCGCATAAATGTATTACATCTTGAAGAGATTGTTTAGAACATAATCATTAAAACCTAGTACACAGGTTGATAAATCGTCACTGAAACCAATACCTGCTGAAATGGCTCTGATTAAAAGGTAGTTTTCGTATAAGAATTGAATGCACTCACCAAGCTGAACAGACAAGACTCAATCCTCGCAGGTGTCACTGTTGAAATCTCAAACACATTCAGTGCAATTCTCTGGACGTTAATTCTTCCCATGATTACTGAAGAAAATGAAACATTTATTAAACACTTTTCAGATAGTATGCAAATATTCTGATATCAAAATTATCTTCCTGTACTCTTATGCAAATCATTTTCTTTTATTGTGTGTGTAAAATCTCGTGTTATACCGAATAAATGTATTAAGGGATATTTTCTAAATTAGGAAGAAAAATTGACAGGTAATCTAAAAATACATTTTACTACACGACTAATTGGTTTTGATGTATTTATTGAGATTAATTTTTATCGAAATAATGTTTCAGATTGATGTATTTATTTAGATTAATTTTGATACCTAATATTGAAAGGAGTTCGATCATCGATTTTTGGCAAGCGTTCGTAGTTTTAGAGTAGCCGACAAGCGAAAATAGTAAATAGCTATGCATAGGTTCATACATTTATTTTAGCGCATTTTACTGTCGTCTGTTTATAAGTTAACTTCACAAGTTATATAGACGAAATAATAGCCAACCTAGTGAGAGAAATCTCCGTAAATCAGGATATTGTTTGGCATCCTTTATTATTTGCTATTTTTCTAGTTACACTGATAATCATGTCTTGAGTAAAATCTCGATTTTGAAAGATAATCTTAAGATAGGCAAGCTATATTATGCGCCTTTTCAAGAATCTGGAACCTTGGTATATATATATATATATATATATATATATATATATATATATATATATATATATATATATATGTGTGTGCGTGTGTGTACGTATTATTTTTATCTAACAAAAGTTACACTTATTAAAAGAGAAATTAATTTATTCAAAAGGAAAATCTCGTGGGTGCCACTATCGAATGTTATCAAAATTTAAATCTCTCCGTTGTATTTCCCATCTCACATTTCCTGAAAGAATTACCACTTTCCTAAGAGTCCATAAGCAATGACAAATATGTTGAAAAATCAAAATTAAATTGTTTAATACATTACCTCATGTTTTTTAAGATGCATTGCACATACGTCTAACTCATTCCATAAAAATCTGATCATAATTTAAACAATATTCATTTATATATATATAAAGAAAATAATCCTTAAATATTACTCGCTTGATTTCCCCTTAATAGACTTTGAATTATGGTATGTTTTGTCCTCCATACATTTCAACCACCTCAAGTTGAAAAAATCAATGACTTCCTTGATTGTGTATGACACACAGGCAAAATAAATAATATATTTGCCTTTGTGCAGTCCTTCAAAGGACAAAACGTGTCGGATAAAAAGAGATTTTTTTTTCAATTGTCGTTTTATTCATTTTGTACCTATACAGATACACTCGTAAGGAAGGAAAAGGATAAGAGAAAAATGAAATCCCTGTATACTGAACGCAATATCTGTTCGAATTTCCAACAATTATAACGAATCTGAAGACAGACAACCGAAGAAAATCGGGTGTAAAATGGCGATAACTTTGAGAATCTTATCACTTGCAGTGTGAATAATAAATGTAAATGTTTATTTCATATGAAAATTTGGCATTAGTTTTATGTAATATTTTCCCTTATGAACAATAAGATATTTCTCCCAGTAAAATATTTTTGGAATCGTTTCCATACAGCCATGCTTGTTTTTGTTTTTTTCTTCTTCGTTTCATTTTTTTTCAATGAATTCTTCCACTTCTGCCAAAATCATCTGTATTTCTTCGACTTACGACATCTCGCTTCCATGTTTATTTCGTTCTTTCTCTTTCCTCAGAGTTCCATTCCTACAGTTATATCGCATTCTTTCCTCGTTCATCATTTATTACATCTCTTTCCCCGACCACCATTTCTCGCATTGGTAAGGTTGGGTAACTCTTAATGTAATACCGGGTCGACATTAATGCGATCTCCTCGCGAGAGGAACATTTTAATTCGGCCATTAAATAAACAATATAACCCGCGTTGAACCTAGCGAGCAATCCCCTCGTTATTTGGTCATAAAATTATCGACAAAGTACGGGTCGAATCACGCAGTCAAGGAGGGAGGGATAATAATAATAATAATAATAATAAGAAGAAGAAGAAGAAGAAGAAGAAGAAGAAGAAGAAGAAGAAGAAGACGAAGAAGAAGAAGCAGAAGAAGTAGTGTTGCAAGAAAACAGGATCTGCTTAAGAATAAAACTAATCTTAAATCAGATAGTGAATCATAAAGAATGTAATAAATCATTTTACTCTGAACTATCTATCTTCCTGGAGAAGCCATTTCAACTCAGCCCTTTCTTGCTTGTAATAGGATCTAATTCAAAGGTCTCTCCTGTTAGACGAATGCACGAATGTAATAATTTCTCAAAAATATACGCATGAAAGACAAAAGCTTACCCTATTATCGCTACGTTTCTCAGTGTATAAATAAAGCAAAATGAGGAAATATTTCTTCCGCCTCAACGTTTTCTCATCGAAATTTCAAAGTCAAAATTATTTTCCGCATTGGGAGATAACGCTCTTCAAAATATCTAAAACATGTGTATAAATTTTATGATAGCATCTGATTCAAAGGATGTTTATTTTAAAATACCAAACGGGTGTGAACATGCATCTAGCACTGAACTTTGAAATGAATAACACTAACTTTTACATGGCAATATTAATCTAAATACTTAAATGACTATCGTTTATTTTTCTGCACGGTGAACGTGTTCCTATTGCATCATGAGAAATGGAGTTTAAAAAGTCTGCACAGAATGAAGAGTCAGAGATGTTTTCCCAATTTTCCACGGATCCTAAACATTCCCCATGTAGTAGGCTGTAGACTATCAATATACAGTTTGTATCAATTTTTGATAGTATAATAACAAAATAATTATAGATTCCTAGAGAAAAGCAGATATTAAAGTTTAAAAAAAATAAGAATATATTTTAAGGAAAAAAAAATAAAGAGTTTGCGCAAAGATAATGATTTGGTGAACAAATGCAATTTTACATGAGCCCTGCGTTCATGTGAAATTAGCAAGAAATACGTGTGCCTGCGCATTCCAACACAAATAATTACATTTCCCTTCATTTATAAAGACAAAGGAAAACAGAAGCCTACGAATGTGTATTTATGTATGCGTGAAAGTGTTACTAACATAACATGTTGCAAATCCAAAACTAGGGTCCCACACCTGTTATAGGAACCTTTCACTGATTCACCAGGTCTACAGGGGTGTTGCCGCCGTACTCACTCCGTTTGAGGTTTGGCGAGTCTATTTAACTCATATGTGGAGGATATCAATTCAGAGTTTTCCTTCAGTTAGACTGATTACAATCAACTCTATCCTCTTATTTGCCCATACCTGCGGGATCGGAGAAGAGATAGATTCATACCTTTCCCAATATGATTTGAACCTAAGTGAAGGTAACGAACTTTGCTGGAATTCGAACACTTCCGTCCGATTCCTCAGTCCAAGATACTATTGTTGCAGGCCCGGTAGGGTGCAGCGTCGGTTTATTACTAAGTGGCCTTGTGCCAGACACCACACTAAACTACCGAGTCTACAAGCAAAGTAAAAAGATAAAAATGTGTGAATGAACTACGAAGAAATGTGGTAAATCCACAAGTGCATAAAATAAAATATATTAAGATAGCCGACACAGAATGACAGAAAAAGACTGGATTCAAACAAGAGTAATTTTTTTATTAAATGCAGGAAAAACAAGTAACTTATCCCGTAGTAGGGATCAATGAATATGTTCCGTGCCAAAAATAGAAAACAAGATGGCTAAAGGCGGGAAAAGTTCTTGAAGAAGAAGAAAGGTTCCAGATAAATTAATGTACATGATAATATACATACAAAAAAAAAATAATACTCACTGCGAGTTTTTGCTAATGTGAGTGAAATGTTATGTATATATTTTTTTTAATTTTTTTTTGTACTGGTTCAAAACAGATTTATGACGAGACCCAAAGTGGACGACGAATTAATATTTTGGATGTTTTGCATCGTCTCGGAGAAGAACTTTGAATGACGAGCCAAAAGGGACGAAGAATTAATATTTTGGATGCTTTGCATCGTCTCGGAGAAGGACTTTGAATGACGAGCCAAAAGGGGACGACGAATTAATATTTTGTATGTTTTGCATCGTCTCGGAGAAGGACTTTGAATGACGAGCCAAAAGGACGAGGAATTAATTATTTGGTGTTCGCATCGTAAGAATATCCTTCGTCAGTCAACCTAGAATATTGACATGGATAAAAATGAGTCTGCCCAGGTCCGAGTCTGGATCACCACTAACTTTTCTGAAACTCTAGTTTGTCGTTGACGTCACAAATTTTTCGCGGGAAGATTTCAAAATCTAATTTGCATAAACAGGAATAGCAGGTCGTTTTGACTGCCGACCAAAACAGTTACTACTGTATTAGACCGAAAGAGGCAGAAAGGGGTGTCAAACGCGCGCGCGCACACACACGAGTGTGGAAGAAAGGGAGGAAACTCGCGCGCGTAAAATGTCGTAGATGGAATAATACATTATTCCACACTATCCAGTAATTCACCATCTCTTTTATAATGTTAAGTTTTATGTAAAACAACAACGACACGAAGAACTGTACTTAGATCTTTGGCGCATTAACAACCACATGCGTAATAGTCACAGGTTATTCCGAGAAAATGTACTTGAATATCGACAGATTAATCTATATAGAAGCAGAATTATATACTTTCCCCACTACAACTGAAAAAAAAACACATATATTCATTCGGTATCTTCTTAAAAACAGTGATTGTCAGTATGATTGAACGCCTGATATTGAGTGATAATTTACCAATAAACGTTACAATTTTTAATCAATATTTTGAATTCTATCCAAACTGTTGTGCTGTGTAAGAATCTAGTCATGATAAATCTTCAATAAAAAATCATCAATGAAATATGTCCCGCTAATAGAACATGAAAAAAGTCTTAACTCAAGAAAAACAATTAATGACTCAAACAAACCTTGATTAAAATTTACTTCATTTACTGAAGCATAATATTTTTCGAGGACCTATCTTACATTTTTACAAACCATACTACTTTGAATACAATACAAGTATTTAAATAAAATTGACAATCATCCCGTTAATAAATATATATCTTGGCGTACATATCTAATAAATATAACTATTTACCAATAGAATAATTGTGATATGAAATTAGGAACATAGGAGACATGCAAAACAAAAACAAAGACAATAAAATATGTGTTTACAACCGAATTGATTTTAGATATTTCTCTTTCAGTCGCTTGTCATACTTCGATGAAAAGTTCAGTTGTGAATGCTAATCATGTAGATTGGATATGTGAAAATGAATCCTTTCAGGAAATAGAATTTCAGAACATTAAATCAAGATGACTAGATCGAAAGAAAGCAAGAAATAAATTTGTTAAATGTTGCTATCATAGGTGTATGCAAAACGAGGTTGACAAAAAATGTAGATTTCACAAGAGATGGTGAAATATTTTGAAAATTTAAACTAGGAACGAGGAATTGAACGCCGAGAAGAATAGTTCCAAGAGTGCACAGCGTATAAAGCTGTAGCCAACACATGATATCAAGAACATCCGATATATATATATATATATGGACATGGAGAAGCCGTGGTAGATAAGCACAATATAAAATTCACTATATCATTATCAATGCAAGATTAAGGAATTAGTTTCTGTGCATGAAAATATATCTACGTCCCGACTACGGGAAACATATAAGAAAACTACAGTAATTGAAAATAGATAAATAAATTGATATACGACCGACCGTTGAATGATACAAATCTGAATTTGAGATTTATGATCAGTTTTAAAATCAGATACAATAACCAAAATGAGTATGGTATCCAAAGTGGGCCACATTAATAAAAGGTTTCCTTACATCAGTAATTGATACCACTCCTCCATCCCTCAAAAATACTAGAGAAATGAAAAGTAATGGCTTATATGTATTATTCTCGATATGATAAAATGGGGACAAAAACATTGCCAAAATACAGCACAGAATATAAGACACTAATCTAATAAATTAGGAACAAATACAAAAGGGATGAATGATTCAAAGAAAATTGTACATAATTAGAAAGAATGAGTATTAGAGATAAAGCAGATATTAATAAAACAAAATAAGTGAACTAACAGGACAAAATACATGGATGTATAAAATTCAAGGATGAATCAATGTTATTAGAGAAATAAAGAATATTAAATATATTGAACGAGTATGTCGGGTGCACTTTCAAGAAGAAAGAGGACAACTAAAAATACACATAAATATTAAATGAGAAAAATATTAATTTCGGAAGTGTAATCTGGCCAAGTTCAACAAAAACAAAGTAGTAAAACCCTGCCTAATTGTAACAGAAATGTTAACATATCTAGATGACTTCGTTACCCACAATAAATTAAATATAAAACTAAAGATAAAACTGAAATCTTAAGGTAAACTGTTTTCAGAAAGACACAGATGCAAACGGATGTGGACATTCAGCCTATTGAGACATAAAAAAACATTATTATCCGAAATTTTATGAGTACAGCATATAGGAGAATTAGACTGCAAATCAAGCATGAACAATTTAATATACATACTGTGAATATTATCAAAAATCACAATACAAATTAAAATAGATGTAAATATATTTTTTATGCATAATTCAAAGGTGTTCGGGAAATTACAAAACAATTAACTATTGGAACTGCGTGATAAGCTTCGCGTATTTGGAAAGTATATTTTAATAATCCCGAACATATACTGGGATCTAACCTCCTGAATACAGGTAAAGAATCAATGCAGTAAATATAAAAATATAGAAAGGAGCTTTAAGACAATAATGTGACTTGTCAGCGGATTTATTCATCCTACACAGTAATGCGATTCTGAAAGAATCAGATGTCCTACTAGTATTCATTATTTATTATTCATTAAAAACAAGATATGCCGATGACGCCGTGTTGATAGCAGAAACAGAAAGGAAACTACATGAGCTTCTGCAAAATATAGTGAAGGAAGGCGGGAAGAAAGGACTAAACATCAATTGCAAGACAGAATATATGGTTGTCAGCAAAAGGGACAACCAACATGCAATTTACAATGTGGAGATACGAAAATCGTGCAAGCACAAAAATTTAATATATAAGAATTAATAGGACGGATAATGTGAAGGGCCTTTAGGATAGCGAAATATGCATTTCTAAAGCTAAGTAAGGTATGAAGAAACAGGAATATTACATTAGAAACAAAGAAAACTGTTACATAATGTAATGTCCGGCCCTGAATACTGGACAATCTCCTCGCAGGTGAAGAAGGGACTGAAAGCAAACGATACGTATTTCTACAAAAAGATGTTTAGGAAACGATAAAATAAATATGTGAGTAACGACAAAGTTGTAGAGAAATTAAAAACAAAAAGGGCATTTATATTTAATATCAGGCTGAGCCAGCTAAAATTTGTATGTCACATGATAAGGAAAGATTATTTGTAAAATATTAACAATCACTGTATATTTTGAAGACTAGAATGTTAGCGGAAAACAGTGTATAACCTACCTAACGAACTTGTGTTAATGGACACCAAAATAAGGTTTTAAAAAATATCAAAATTTGCTAAGATCTCCAAAGGATAGGACATTTTGTAGAGCTATTATATCCAATGTCCTGAATAGAGATGGTACATAGAAGAAAAAAAAGTCAGTCATAATGAGATTATTTGCTTAAAGACTTATCGACCACTTTGAATATAGAAGGCATACGTTTAAAACACGTAAATATACTCCGGTACTTCTACTATCTTAGAAGTCAAGTAATAACTAGATTAGAATAGGGACCACTTGGGTATCCAAGGTGATCTATGCCCGGATGTGCGTGTGAAATAATGGTTAACGATTGCGAATTGGAAATGAGAGAATCGAGTTTCAATTCCTGCCCTGTTCGTTGCGACAGATTTGCTTCCAACTCTTCCCCACTAGCTTTGGATAAGTTGCCAAAACTTGTACCAATAAGTCATTGTTATTTCCCCTACAAAATTCTTTCAATCTATTTTTATGGCTTTACATATAAAAATGTAACATGTAAAATATTGATAAACCGTAAAAAATAAATCAGTCAAACACTCCATCGTATATACAAGATGATTTATAGACAGGATATAATAGAATTCAGGCTCTTCACGCGGAAAAAATCCATTGTTTATAATTAGTTTCTAGCTAGCCAATTCAAAGGCATACTTAGATTTCATTACCAATTGCCCTGTAGCGGATATGGCGACACAGCTTCAATACGATTGTCCTGGGTATGCCGATAAACTACATCCGTGATAAACTACGTCTAACATCAAGGCCCCTGATCATGAGGTTTTGAGGACCGTGTTACAAACTCTTAATTGCTGGCGTTTTCAGGTCCACTATGAACAGTGGTGGTAGCAGGTGTTAGTGTCCCAGCTATGAGCAAATAGTTAATACCCAAACTTGTGTAATAATAGATTTTAATACCAGAAATACTTTGTCATAAAAAAAATTATTACCAGTAATTTTTTTTGAAGGAATAATTATTATCAGCAATACTTAAAAAAATACCAGTTAATACCAGGAGCTATACATTCTTTGAAAAACAAAATTGGAAAATGGAAATCAGAATACAAATTGGTGTGAACAAAATATTACCAAGAATGTAATTTTTAAAAAAATACGAAAATAAAAACATCCAAGATGGTAATTTTCATAAAAGAACTTGGATTGTACACAAAAATGTGAGTAATTGAAAAATCGTTCAAATATATTTGTATATATACGCAACTTTTTTTTTACGAAACTGTCGCTATGAATCTATTTAAAAAATATTGTTAAATGACAAACTTAGGTTGATATGCTATGAAATAAAACAACCAACAAACCAATCAATACGACAAATGATACTGTTGTGGTTTTCGTATCGACGTGCAATAGCTAAACAGACCTCCATTGGATTGCCTCCGTTGCTGCATAACCCAATCATTCTTATGAAGAACTCAACCAGAGTTGATAGAAATGAGGATGAGAAAGATGGATTAATTTCATTCCCAAACGCATCACAAGAATAATGAGTCGAGTAATTATGCTTTCTATTAAATCCAGACATATTATGTATACCGTTTCTAGCATGTACTTTATAAATTAAATGTTGGAGACCTAATGGGGACTGCATTTCATCATTTCAATGATATTAAATTTAAATCTGTTACTGAAATCCTAAAATCTCACATCATTAGCATATTTTTATTTTTACATTACGATTGCTCCTGGGAGACTGACAACTTTTCTGTCTTGTCACTTTAGGCTTAAGAGCCTCCATTTCACTCTTAAGCGCTGAACCCTGCTTTTTTGTCAAACTCCCGCTATCAACCTTAAATTCTAAAAACAAATGATTTGGTTATTTTTATTCATTATTATTTTCTAAAACGTGCAATACTCTGAAGAATATGCGTTCTTATCGTTTATATTAATTCTATTGCTATGTGCATGTTATTTTTTGTTATTTGTGTTTATCTCTTGCTGGAAATCTTTACAAGACAGTCAAATGCCCGGAGAGATAGAGAATACTGAAGGGGCCATATTATCGCCATAAGATTTCTCTGGATTTCGCTGAGTCACTTTACGCGGTGACAATAGTTTCGAGGGGTTTCCTTGAGACTCATCTTCTTGTCCATTAAGAGTAAATTGGTTTCAGGGAAATAAACGCTACTTGAAAGGAAAGAAACAAGGGAAAAATGAGAGGAGAACGAGAAAAGGGAAGGAAAATAAATACAATTTTTATAAAGAAGGAAAAATAAATTTTATGAAAGGAATAATGCAAACGGTATTAAATCCAAATGCAAAAAGACAGCAAAAATTGAAGAATAAATTCACTTGAAAAAGTTGGAAAAAGAAAATGGAAGAATACATTCATTTGAAAAAAAGGAAAAAAAAGTAATAAAAAAATTAGGAATGAAAGAAAGAAAAGTAAAATAGAAAGGAAATAGATAATGGAAGTAACGAAAGGGAAAATAGAATATAAAACTGATTTCCATGTATAGCAAACATATAGATAGAATTTTCAAAGACACCATTGGCACTACACAAAATGAAAAAATAGTAAGAACAGACAGATGAAATGTACAAATGGCAGAAATGAGTGACTGAAATGCAGAAGCAAAAAATATTAAACAATGAATGGGAATGAAAACTAAAATAAATACAAAAATAGAAGATGTCCAAAAATAAAAATGATAAACGTAAGCAAAAAGACGATTTTTGAGGACAAAAATACAGAACGACTTTTTTTTCAGGGAATAAAAATTGAAAAAATCAAATATAAGAAGTAAAGAAAAATATAGAAATTTTTTAAAAATAAAACAAATAAATAATTCAAATAAAGACTAAGATATTTGCAAATCAAAAATAAACAAATTAGGCAAAATGAAAATTCTTAAATACAACAGTAAATTTTATCACCCTACTCAGGCAGAGGATAGAAAGTGGTGTGCATAAGTGCCTTACACCTTTCCATTTTCGCCTTTAGCCTTAATGTAAGGATGAAAGTTTCAAAATAAAATAAATGAAAAAATATCAGCGTAATGGGATCGAATATGTCGCAAGTGGAAAATGTTGCTGAAAGCGACTTTAGATTTCTATAATTTGTTGCTATTTTCATGTTTACTTTATCCTGCTATGCAGTGTTGTATTTCTTTCGGCACACAGACTCACTTTGACTCCATTTTACATTGCTTTCCTTTTCTTTATTATTTATTTATTTCGGTTGTTCAGGCAGTAATATTCTCATGAATTTCCCAAGCCATATGTTATGTATAGGAGACCAGGTGACAACAAGTATCCTCAATACTACAGTGCATTTGGCTAAAAAGTTTCTTCATTTCCTTAGATTTCCAACTTCGTTAAATGGTCAAGATTTTTTTTTCAGATCGTTTCAAAATACAATGATATGATCTGCTTAATAGTCTATAAGAGAATTTCATTTATTCCTGAACTCAAATTATTTGTTTAGTTTTTTTCTGGATTTTTCAGTTTCATTTTGACCTATTAAATTGTTACATTTATGCATACATGTATTTTGATAGGTCGGTTATGCTGTCCTGGATATGACGATAAACTATATCCGGCAGCAAGATACCTGATTGCGAAATTGAAGATATTGAGATGTGTGGAACCGCGTCTTAATTATTATAGTGAAATTACGAGCAAAATATTTTTTTTAAAAATACCAACAATATATTCTATCATCTAAAAACGATATATCTAAAAAGACATACGTTTACCCTGAAACTACAAAAAAAAAATGCACACAGATGTCAGCATTAAATTGCCCATAGATGTTGATAGGTTACTAAATAAAATCAATCAATTAAATTTGTGTATGAATTTCAAATTTAATTATTCTTTTCTCCAGGACAGATGACGTCTTTAACATGGATATTATTGTACTTATACAGATCTTATAAAGCTACTCGAAGAGAATAGTTCTTTTCTACAGGTGTATTTGAAGAATAACAGGAAGAGATCATCTGAGCAATCAGGATTTCATACGTGAACTATAGAAGAAATCACATTTCAATTAATCAGAAATAGATTAAATTTCCGGTTTTCATGTTATGAAAAGAGGATAACACTTACGGGAATTATGGAAGAATTTGAAAAGAACGAGAAAACTACTTTAAATTTTTCATGAATTGAGACCAAAAAAAAATATGTTCGAGGATACAAAAGCATGAAAGCGAGCAGGTGTAGAGATTCGCGATCATCCATGTTATAATGTGCAGTACACATAAAATAAGACTGGAGGTAATACATTTATGATTCGTCCGTTCGTATATAACACTTTCTGCTATTCTGAGACACATTTTTTATATTAATTCATTCGGTTTAACCATCTTCGAGTAGAAAATTCATTATATGACATATATTTGTATTGGTTCTTAAATCGGTGAATAATGAATTAACAGAATATTTCGAATGGAGAAGTAAAATAAAAGACACCGCTCACAATGTGAAAACGTCATCTAAAAGGTAATAAATGATGTACGAGCAAAATAGAGAGTCTACATTGGAGAGCCATGAGTAATTCAGAACACAACCATATAGAATATGAGTAGTGACTGGACATGTTAACGCAGAGGACATTGTCAAAATGAATTGTAGTCGCTGAATTTGTAGTATAAAATATTTCTAAATTGAAAAGCAGGAGGGAAACAGAAGAAATAACATATATACATTTATTTAATTATTTACACTGTTATCTTCATCTTCGTTGCCATATTCACAACGTTTCGGCCGGTGAACGGCCTTGCCTTCTGGAGGTGATTAGAATTCCGAACAGAAATCTTTATTTCGTCCACCGGGCTTAGATCGTTCTATTTCCTGGTTTCCTTTTTGGGTGTCCCTTTAAATCAATTCTGTTTAACCTGATATTGAGCTAAGCACTGCTTCTATCCAAAGTATTTATCCACTGGGCTCTGTGTCCTTGATGACATGTATGGATTTCTGGGACTTATAAACCTAATGTCTCAGCATCATGTTTTTTTACCAGTGATCATATAGAAATTTTTCCGTTATTATTTTTGCATAATTTTTACCAGAGCATATATTGCAATTTTGTGTTGTTACTCATTGCTTTTCTATAGCAATCCTCATTACTGGTTCCCATATTGTATACATTTCTATTCGTTGTCTGCTTAGGAGATTTTTGTGTGCTAGCATATGTTCTGATTCTTTAAGTTTTCGTATTTTCCAGTGATGTGCTCTGTCTATTATTTCAACCTCATCCCAGACGGAGCGGTGATCTCCCTTTTCCCTCCATATTTGGTCAGCTATGGCTGATCTCTCTATTTCCCCTCATGTTACCGCTAGGATGTTCTTGCAGTCTACACTAAGCGGCCTGATTCTCCTTTATATTTCTTACCACAGCTGCATGGGATTGCGTACATACAGCCCTTAGTCAAGCTCTCCTCTGTGGGTGAGGGTCTTACTCGAAATATGTTGAACCACTTTTGAAAATTACCCTGAATTTATATCGACCAGAGATCCTTTGTATTTTTTCCGATAATCCCTTCAGAAAGGGTAGGCATACTGAAGCTCTTTTCTGAATATATTTATCCTCTTGTACCATTCTATCCCAGTTTGTCGGGGCTGATATCATGTGAATATGGCAATGAAGATGAAGATCGCATTCCGAATAATGTAATTAATGTAAATAATCATAATACCTCATCTCAGAGATATAGACAAAGACGAGATTATGTTTTATATGGAGAGCGACCGTATCAAAATAATATCATCTTCTATGCACCGTGTCCGTGATCATGGATCTCTACAATTTTCTTTCATTTGTCGTTCTAAATAACATTTGCATTGTTGCTATCTCTCGCAAATCCTGTTCCATCATCAATCCGCTCAAATACGCCAGGTAGGTCGTGTATTGTTCTGAAGATAAAATTTTACAAACTTTTTTTCTTCGTTATGCGACCCAGAAACTGCATCTGTCTTTTTAACGTCAATGTCTCTAGAACTTCGTCGTTTCTCACGTGTTAAGTCCAAGCTATTCTCAGCATTCTTCTGCAGAACAACATTTCTGTTGCTTCAAGTATAGGCTTCTTCTGTTAGTAAATTCACCAGCATTCACTGCCATATAAGAGGACTTATAGCATATAAAATTTATTACCCTTTTCTATGTTTTTATCTATATTTTTCTGTTTCTTAAAACTTTACACAGTCTTTGAGTTTCAGTGTTGTATTTCGCTGTCACAGTGTCCGTTCTTTGTTAATATGCTATGCCAGATATCTAAATTGTTACCCTTTTCGATTTCTGTATCGCCAAACTGTAATTTTCATAGGATGTTCCTTGTGCTAAGAAACATGCATTCAGTCTTACAATTGATTTTTAGTTCTTTCTTCCTGATTTCCTTCTCTACGATCTGTAGAGATTCTTGTAGTTTCCTTTACTGTCTGCTGTTAACACAGTGTCATTTGCGGATCTTGTGTTAAGACTGTGACCGCAAATAATGAATCATGGTAGGAATTCTAATTCTTTCAGAATGACCGTAGAGTATAGTTTGAAAATGTCTGGTGCGAAGGCGCATATTTTTTTTTTGTATATTTACTGAACAAATTTCCTATCCGTATCCAGGTGTTTTATCCAAATATATGTTCTGGATTATCTTATAATCCTTCCTACATGTGTCTATGTTAACATGCAGTTTTTGCGATTCACTTTCTGAAACGATATATCATAATATATAAAACGTAGATATGCATCTTTTTACCTTTGTATTGCTATTTCTGTTATCGTGCTGAACATAAATATACGATTCATTGTTCTAGTTTCTTTAAAGAACCCTTACACTTCTTGTACTATTTCCAGCCTGATTCCGCTACACGATATATTCCTCAATATTCCTAATATTATGCATTTTTCTTTTTGTTTAGATTTTCTCATTATGTTTCTTTTTTAAAAATAAAATCACTTTACTTCCATATTAAAATTTGTAATTTTATCAAATACATCTTGTGAAATAATTAGTTATCGTCCAGCTAATAATTTGAAAACATTCGCTATTATCACGCACGTTCTCCCATCACTCACTAACTTCACAGTATTTCCTGAGTGAATATAAATAAATATATTCCTGAATTAAATAGCGGGTTGGAGACAGAAGAAATAATACAGGCGAAATGATTATTTACAATTTTCTCCTCAACTTTATTGCTATATTCACAAAGTCCCGTCCGTTTTACGCCTATACCTTCTTAGGCTCCTTGAATTTCGAAACGAACACTTTATTTCGCTTACCGGGGTAGATTGTACTACTTCCTAATTGCTCTTCTGGATGTCTCCGTTATATCCTTTTAGTTCAACTCTCCATGTTTTTTGGTTCACCACAGCTGTATAGCCTGGTATTGAACTCACAACATTTGGCTCTAGTCACTGGATCTAACCAATGCCTTTATCGACTGCAATATCTGTATGAATTTCTGGGAATTATAGACCTAATGTCTCAGCAAATATATTTTACCAGTTCTCATATTACAATTTTTCAGTTATTATTATTATTTTTTT